ACTGTACCTTCCTCCAGGTGGATACAGCGAAATAACTGGAGGTGTCTTGAGTTGCTATGGTTGCTAATTGCCTCTGTGGAGGTTTCATGGAACAAACTGACAGTTTTTCTCCTTCCAGAAGGAAAAAAAAAAAAAGAGAACAGGGTGCACTCAGGTTTGATGGCGGAAAACTGTCATCTCTGATTATACTGTTGTGTTGCCCTGAAAAGTCGAAAAATACACAGGACATGGCACTGGAATTCTACGGGGACCAGACTGGAGTTTTATTCATGCAAATATTTGTCAGAGGCTCTGCTGCTGTGCTGCTGTGCATACAGAAATATGTTCACTGGAGTCAAAACACAATAACCCAAATTCCCCTGGGGTTTCTGCAGTTTGACCCTTTGTGTCCGAGTTATCCTGTTCAATTTGGCCTAGTCCTGGTTCAGGGAGCATCTCTACCTCAGTGATTCCACTTCAGAGTCAAGTTCGAATCTCCAACATTGGTGCACATTCACTTGAGCCCACTGCTTGAATCAAGGAGGAGTAATTTCTACGTGTCCGTGTGTTTGTCTACAATCGCACTGATAATATTTTAATAAAATATCCAAGCAAGGTCCATTTATGCTTCTAGTGTTGCTGCCTTGAGCACAAAAATGTTTTTACTCCACTGTGTAGCACGAGTACATTAAAGTACGTAAAAGCAGTAAGGTCAGTGTATTAAAGCCAGACGCAGAGTGATGAACAAGATAAAACACACTTCATGGAATAGGAATTGAGATGTTTGTCGATTTTAAAAAGGTCGTTTTGGTTTGAAGTTGGTTTAATAGATGAGGAGAAGGGATGAGTGAAAGATGGATTGATGATTTTAGACTTTCTTTGCTTGTAAATACATTTGGAAAAATTCCATTATCTCCTGTTTTTATTATTCGACCTCAGGCTAAAGTCAAACATCATGTCTGCAGCTCAGCTCTGTATTAAGAACAGGTCCCTCTTAACAGAACGACAATGATAGTGGGGAGGCAGGGACTCAGAATTAGGCAGCCAAGCATGTGATGACAGTGGATGTAATTTTGAACCGTATCCAAAAGGGTTCATTCTCTGACGTCGAGATTTACAGTGATTTACCCAAATGACTTCACCTCTGTGTGAAAATACGCAGATTTAAACGATAGATTGAAGAAATCAGGCTGATGTGACTACATGTGTCTAAGAGGTGGGCTGAGGCGTGAAGACGGACTCGTGAGAGTAGACACAGAGGTTTATAAGTCTGTAAAGGAGACTGGAGGTGAGGGAGAGGCAGCTTAGTGGAGAGATATTGTATTGGTGTCATGACTGAGCACATCGGGGCACAGATAGCTTCATCCTTTATCTAAGCGCTCTCTTCACTATGCCAAACACTTCCTTCTATCTGTCCTGTTAATCTACACCTCCGTCCCCCCCCATCCGCTTCTGCGCTCTCCCTCATTTTCCTTTTTTTAGTCACATAATCTCGGTCAGGTCTTCTTGAATTCCAGCACGTCTTTGGACTGTGGGGGTGGGGTGGGGGGGGGTGAGCTACCTGGTGAAAACAGACAAAGACACGGGAAGAACATGCAACATACGTACAATAAATATTAGATACGTCGTGTTATTAAACAATGTGAAGAGGCCTAACTAATTTGCAGCCCGGTCTACATTTGACAGCAGCAACAACTCAATGGAAGAGCTTCATAATTTTGCTTTCACCCTGGGCGTCACCTTCTACATATTCAAAGAGAGCTTCAAACCAGAGTGCAGTCTGTGGGGGTTAGAGCTTCAAACACCGACGGGAGCAGACTTCCCTCTTTATGTGTCTTAGTGGGGCGTCGCTCAGATCACCGTGCACATGACGTTGCCTTTTATTTCAAGGGGCACGGAGATTGACACCGCTTCCCTTTTAAAAATGTGCCGTCTCAAAGCTGCCCCCTCCTTTTGATAAAAATAACTCATTTCCTGAATATTTTAAGAAACAGCCCAAATGTCCTTTTTTAGTGCTTTCTGCTCCACTTTGAGTTCCACGTGGACTTCTTTCATTTGATAGTTTTACCTGTATGTTAATGACCAAACCAAGTTTGCTTTGTTGTATTATTACACCGAGTGCAAGCACCATATTAACAATTCCCATTTGGCGTTGGGGAAATTATGCTTTAATGGTCCGGATTTTAATGAGACTTGCACTCAGTGTAATTTGTCTTTTATTATTATCTCTTTTGAAAATTAGAGTTAGTCTCTTTACAGTTTTTTTTTTTTTTTTTAATGAGATTGTCTTTATGAAACGTTTACTTCTTTTTCAAGGAGCCTGTTTCTGTTCATTTAAGTTTGGTGGGAAAATCAAGTTGCAAACATAAATACCAGCGTGATCCTTTTAGAAAACTGATGAGAACACAGGTTGTTATCATATTTTATAACTTCCCGTCTATTAAGATGAAGGAGTCTTTCTAACTTGTGTATGTATATGTGCATATATATATATATATATATTTCCATGAACTGTATACACGTAGGCTTAATTTGAAATGGAAATATGGCTTTTGCTCCATTTGGCAGAGAAAGTAAATGAGACTTTATCTAAACTTGGATAATCCTTGATCAAATGAAACATGGTGGTTTTGATGAAGTTGTTTTGAAGTAGTTCGTAACTAAGCCTCATGACTTCTTTCATTTTCACACTTTCATTTCATTTCTCCTTATATTCTTTCAGCCGAGACATAAAGTCCCACTTTTGCTTGATGTGCTGGAGTCAACAGCCACTTCATCATTGAGACACTGCACAAGTGGCCATTTAGAGACACACAAGAAAGTGACTATGGGAATAGCTATCTTTCCCACACCGCCTGAATTCCTTTCTGTTGTCTTTAGTGCTGCAGATATGATCAGTTGAGTTTTGGCCAGTTGTCTTAGTCTTAGGAGGCAGGGTCTGGGTTTGCAGCATTGTATCTGTGATCTAGTAGATGAGGGACGGAGGAAATGGATATGTTGTTTTCTTTGTATCTACCTCCAGCCTGTAGAAGCAAACACACTGTGGGCAGTGGTTTTCCTCGACTCTGGAGGCTACATGCTCGTCTGGCAAACAAAGGCGAGGTCATTCTTGTGGCAGAGGCAAGAGTTTTTCTGCGAATCAATAATCGTATGACTCCCTGATGAAGCCATATGGGAGATGTGATTCCCCTCTCGATTGGTTGAATCAATATTTAAGACTTTGATTGACAAGGAAATGTACAACAGGATCTGTGTCTGCTCTCAGTTGATGTAAGATGCTGATCGCATGTTGCACATACCTGCTCAAAAGTTTGAAACCAAATCCAAGAGAGGAAGGTTTCTCCCCAACATAAGCACAACTGAGTATTTCGACATTCTTTGAGGTTACCAGGAAAAAGCAGGGACCTCATAGACATCACTTAAATGTGGGTAATTGTGGAAAAGATCCATTAATTGAACTTCCTGCCACTGCTTGTTGATCTTCTGCCCCATTGTTCATGTGCTTTAGGGTCAAACAGTGAAGCACTTCATTGTTCTCTAAACAGAGAAGCATATTGTGTACATTTGTTTGCTATCCTAGAAACTGTATACGCTTCTCCGCCCAATATTTTGGCTTGACTTCTGCCTCAGAGCGTAATGATGATGGTTTTTAACATAAAGAAATGTGCGGGAGGACAAAAGAAAAGAGCAACTAAGGCTGTGACTGTCTCTCCTTCTTCACAGATGTGTTTCTTCAGCTGTGAGATTGTCGCATTATGAAGCACCAACAGCTCAATGTTGTGACGTTAGTTTGCTACCTGGCTCTCGAATGGCGAAGCCTTGCAAACTGTTCCCATGAATTTCCTGGTGAGAATTGAGCTGAGACTGACTCGCTGCATCTGTGTGAAGTGGCAACACAGTGAAGGCTCAGTGGGATATCTCCGTCTGTCTCTTAGGAATCATCACATCGCTGGTCGCTCTGGTGTAAAAGAAAAGTGAGGATTCTCTGATTGGGCTTTGACAATTTGTCACAAAATGCAAGATTTTGAATTCTGTTTTATTTTTAGCATGCAGTAATGGAACAAACACCAGGTGTTTCTCCAGATGCTTTTTTAAATATCGTCTGTGCTGCTCTGCTTGTAGCTGCCACTGATGCATTAAGTGCACTGGAGCCTCAGGAAAATAATATTCTCTGATTTATGGCATTTTGCCTTTTAAATCACCCGACAGGGGAAGCTGGGACGGGGAGAACGAGTACAAGAGAGCCCAGGAATGATGAGTGAGATGGCTCTTATAAACACTGAGTGAAAAAATAAATCCTCAGACAGTGATACTGCATGAATTAGTATAAAAAGTGGACTATAGATCAGCTTACCCAAAAAGTATTAAAAACATCCAAAACCATCCAAACTTTATGATAATTGTTGATTGTCACGGCTGCTATGGCTGCGCTGTATTATTTCCCAGTCATGCGGTGTTTGACTAAAGTTAACTGTCGGGTTCACAGGTACAAGATTCATTAACAGTTTACACTTGTGTGGCCGCAGGTTGAGCTTCTTAAAGATTGAATCGCAAAGCCGGGGTCTGCCTCATCTCAGTTCTTCTTTGATAATGAAAATTTCCACCTAGCTCTGCAATTGTGGGACGCATCTAACTCCACCGTGATTCAATTCCTTCGCCATACTCACCTTATTTTAACAGAGAACCTACAAAACATAAGAAGAATGTAAAAATGTCACAACTTTTATGTGCAATATATCCGCCTCCTATCAAGCTGGCAGTTCGACAAGGTCCTTGTAGAAAATGGAAGCTTTTAACCCGTCTGCACACGGAGATGTTGCACTCTAGTGAGCATAAATATTTCATCCCAGAGTTTCATTCATTGAGGGTATGCATGAAGAATGCTTGCTCTTTTTGAGCGGGCAAAGCAATTTGATTTTGGGCCTTGCCTTATTGTGCTTTGCCCCGCGTGTCACCATTTGTCTCGATGGGAACCCGGAGACTAATGTATATTTATTTTCTATCTTCCTTTCTCTACCCAGCTGCCATCCAGGTGGAAATCACTCCGACGCAAGGAGAGATCAGCGTGGGAGAGTCCAAATTCTTCCTCTGCGAAGGTAAGACCGCATCTCATTTAATACAGCATTGGTGCAAATGTCACCTCATGCGTACAGCGTATAATACTGCAGTATTAATTCAGTTACACAAGCCAGCTTAGTGGATATATACTCATTAAACATTAAAGACATTCCAGATAAGACATGACAATGCTGAAACAGTGCGAGTATGGACGTTTATTCTGAGATGAGATCAGGTAGGGAAGAGAGCTGAAGAGAGGAGGGAGCGAGGGGCCGTCTGAGGAGATAACGAGAGAGAGGTCTTGCACTTTCACTGTGTTTCCAGTGATGAATGTAAGTAGATGTGCAGTTGTCAGCTTGTCTGAGATCCAGGGGGTAAGTTGGAACATTAGGTAAGTCATCTGTCCGACATCATACAGCACTCTGCACATGAATAATGGGGTCATACATTATGAAAGTCAGTGTGAAGAACCTGGAAGTTTGTTTTACCCGCATTACAAACAGAAATGGATCCCGTCATGCAGATTAGTGAACCATAGTCTGCAATCCTGTATCTCGGTGTAAAAGTAAAAGTCCATTATAGTTAATCGGAACATCTATGATTAAAATAAAATAAAATATATCTGAAAGTGTATTTTGTTGTGTGGTTGGTAGTAGAGGTCGTACTGTTTAATTGACCCTCATTTTACTCAAACACCATCAAATTGATTCCGTCTCCGAGCTCGTTGCTCCCTGGCTGCAAGTTTAAAAATCTTATGTGAAGGTGACCCTCACAAAAACAGAGCTCAACATCTTTGTGCATGTGATGAAGCTTCAACATTTTTTATTTTGACTTGGTGATATTTCTTTCTTTTTGGTTTAAAGAAAGAAACATGGCTCCAGCTCGAACTCCAAAAATACACAAGGGTTCCTTTTGTGTTTCTTTCTGATATTAAGAGACATGAATAAGAAAAAAAATCTCACTTTATGCACTGAAATAAAATTTCATCATCTAAAACCGCACTGGTCTTTATAAAAAATGAATGATGTGGAAGAGTTGTTTGATTTTCCTTTCAATCATCCGTCCTGCTGAGCAAATAGATTTTAGTTTGTGTATGTGGTGCGATCTTAAAAAGGCGTCTCCTGTAGGGAGATCTTCACAAGAGTTCTTGATGCATGGAGTGAAGACATTAGCTTTCAAGACTCGTGGAAGTTATAATGACTCGTCATGTTTCATCCTTCACTTTGAATTTGGTTTATGTTTACTTACAGATTATCATGAGAGCACAGACAGAAGCAGAATCGTTTAAATACACCAGTCTGATATGATGTGGAGAAAGCAGGAGGCCTAGCAAAGAAAAAAAGCAAAGTAGCAGAAGTATAAAACAGAATTACACTTTTATTCATAACACTTTCTCGTGTTTTTCATTTATATAGCAGCTGTGTAATTCTTGCTTCCTTGCCTCATTTTGCGTTTCCTCCTCAGTGGTGGGAGATGCTAAAGACATAGACTGGTATGCGCCCAGCGGGGAGAAGATCCTTCCCAACAGGCCAGACATCTTTGTGAGCCGCAGCGATGAATCCATGTCCACCCTCACCATATACCATGCCAACGTGGACAGCGCTGGCATCTACAAGTGTGTGGCGAAGAACGGGGACAAGGAGGCCCAGGCCACCGTGCAAGTGAAGATCTTCCGTAAGTGTTAAAGAGTTTTTATCTTCACACGAGAATCTAATCAACGTTATAACAAGGTCTGCGTGAACCCGACCAGACAACACGACCGAAACCAAAAGCCGTCAGTCAAAGAAAAATCCACTTCACCACATTCTGAACAAGAATGGATTAACTCAGACGCAGGAGTGAAAATGGACATTGATCACCGTCACTTTCCTGAAGCAAAGATAAATAATAATAATATTTATTCTGATATTTAAAAACATGAAAAACAGATTTTTTTATATATTTTGTGGAGATAGAGGAATAAAACCTGAGGGTATACAGTTCTAAATAAATTGCTTTATTCCACTGTGGTGGCTGCTGCTTGGGATCGACTCTAATCGTTTTATTAACCACGTGTTAATTAGATTTAAAATATGACCAGATACAGAGAGGTAAGTATAATGCCTCCTGCATTTGTTATTAAATGATCTTGGGGGTATTTTTTGATCAGGCAGTTGATGGTATACAAAGAAAAAAGGATAAAACTCGTTCCCTCTGTTCTGCACACGGTCACAGCTAGAAATTATATCCGTTATTATACGAAATGATTTTGCCGGATTAACTTGTCGGTAATGTAATTCCCATCTGTTATGTTCACTGGACACGTTTTATAATATAAAATATTTGATTTCCACTTGTTTGGCACAGTCATCAGATTAAATAAAGTTTATTTTGTAGCTTTAAGTTAGGAATAGTCGGCATCAATGCCAGATATTAACCTTCAGCCGACAAAATCATGTTCAACTCTCCAAACAGTTCATTAAAAACACTAAACACATCTCAGCTCCGACAAATGAAAGTGTCTCTGCTGCTGTTGTCAATGTGAACGAGTCTTTGAACTGTCTTTACCTTGTCTACCTTCCCACGCCATCTGTGATTACATAAAGACTCAACCATCCAAACATTTATTAGCAAAGCAGAAGCCCCAGCATATGGTGCCTCGTTATGGTGCTAATCAACTGTAAGATTTTTTTTTTTCTCCCATGCAATATAAATATGCCACATGAGAGTTTGCAGCTCAGAAGTGTCGGGCTGAACATCAAGATACATGTGTAATTATGTGTCTGTCTCATTTCCTCACAGAGAAGATCACCTTCGAGAGCGCCCCGAGCCCGCAGGAGTTCAACGACGGCGACGACGCCGAAATAGTCTGCGACGTGGTCAGTTCACCGCCGCCCACCATCATCTGGAAGCACAAGGGTTCCAAGATCCAAGTAGCCAAAGATGGTGAGCCAATAACGCGCCGTCCCGTCCCATCCCATCCCAACCCAACCCCCTGAGCCGTCAGCTTTCCTTCTCGCCGTCTGCCAAGGCAATACTCTCCAATCAATTAGCTGTACTCTTCCTCCTCTTCTCCTCCTCTGCCTCTTTGAACAAACTAATGCATTGTCAGCAAGGAGGGAGTGTGAGACCTCATGGATGATGCATGAAAGAGGATAACAAGTTCTCTCCAAAATAAAAAGAGAGAGAGAACTGCTCCTGAGGCTGAAATAATCCAGAAAGGAGAAAAAGGAAGAGAATCGCTAACAGTCCTCGGGAATAAGTTTGCCCAAACTTTAACTAGCAAGAAAAAGAACAGATGTAATCTGGACCTGCCAGGTTATGCTGGGCAGCTTTTTAAAATCTCTTTTTAATTCTTAAAGGAGAGATTTGATGCTTTTTCAGCTTTTCTTTCCTACGGTGTGTTTTATAGTTTTTTTTTGTCAATGTAAAAGTTCTGCAAAGTTGCAAAACCCGAAGTCTGCTCGAAAGGGAGCTCAACAAACAAACAAACAAACAAACAAACAAACAAACAAACAAATGCCTCTCAAACCATAACCTCCTCTGCACATGTAATCATTTATTTTAACACGTGCAGACACATGCATGTTGTTGGGTGTGGCCTATTTAAAAACCTCTCTGCATTTTTGGTTTAAAGCAAGTTTTGTAAAAAAAAAAAAAAAAGGTTGGACAGGCGTGATCAGCTTCAATGAGAGCGTGTCGTGGATTCCTGTGGTGAGTCACTGTCACAGAGGAATGAAGCACCGGATCCCAGAGCATCAAAAGGTCCATAGAAACTTCTCTGCATTATAATCCTTTTCTTCACTGTTTATTCTTATGTTCTACACGATCCCAGCTTTGCCAGTAAACACACGCTTCAGAGCGAAGGAGCGTGACACAGAACTGAGGTATTTAACTCTGCTGTGACGCTCTTTAAACATTGTGACTATGCGACTAAACACGGCGGCGGCGGCGCTGCACGAGTGAAGTGACAGGTTTACGTGGACGGTTTTGTCTGCTGCTGCGAAACTGAGCCGACTGCATCCGCCGACCGCCGAACCAATAACAAACTTCTCAGCCTGCGTCGCCTCTGCCAATCAGATGAGAGGGAACATAAACGCTGCAGTAAACGTGTTCATGTGCAGTTTATGTAAATAATTTCCTCCGGCAGCCAGTGTGTGTTTTGGAAGAGCGTTGACGAGGCTGCTCCAGAGCAGCTCTGCCCCCGAGAGTTCAGCTAAAACTTCATTCTGATATGTGGTGAAATGAAGCGGGAGACTGTGTTTTGTTTTACACTTGGACCGGGCCTATTTTAACCTTTCGGTAACCCCTCCCTCGGTGACCGCTGGAGAGCTCGGAGTCACCACAGTGTTGTCCTAAGGCAGCTTTTATTCCTGGACTCTGGTCAAGGAATGTGTTTTTCACTGGAAAAACCACTAAATGCAACCGACACTGCAAACTGAAAGCGTCTTATGTAATTTTTCTCAGCGCAGCAGTTGACCCTAACCACACGCTGCATGTTTCAGTGTCAAAACCACCCACCCAAACTCTGTCATTGTTTTATGGGTCAGTGTAGCATGTGCTCGAATGCAGAATCTAGTTTTCTACTTAAATACCACTCGAGGCCCTCGGAGGTTTAACTTAAAATACTTTAACGCCACTTTTTACACCAGCTGAATAATTTAGTTCACAGTTCTGTTCATGAAGGATTTTGCACTTTGTATGTGACAGGAAGCAGGAAATAAATGAGAACATGTTTTGAGAGTTTCAAAAATAATAATTCAAAAGAAGAAGCATCCAATGTTCAAAAACCTTCAAAACTTCATTAAACTGCAGAACTGGCAGCAGAATGTGTGAGTAGAGACAGAACTCGTGATGCTCACTGATTCTTTAACACACTTTAAACAGCAGTTACATGTCAGAGACACTTATTTCAACTATTTTCTACTTCTGACTATTTTTTATTGTTTCTAATCTATTAACTGTAAAAGAAACAAACATGTAATCAGATGTAAAAAGTAAAGTATTTCTTTCTGAAGTTTAATGGGCATGTGAAAGTATAAATGAGCAAAAATTTAAATACCACAGGAAAGTGCAAGTCCCCCCTGAAAATTGTGTTTAGGTCGTTTAGACGGAATTGTCTGTGCAATAAAGTGATGCAGGGAATAAAATGTTCATTATCCCAAGCCCACGTCGTTTCCAGCGCTCAGTATACAATTATGTGCATCAAGTGATTTTATAGCACACAGACTTAGAAACATCTTATGTCCCCTCACTCGCATGAAAATGAAACCGGCAGCATCGTACCGCTGCAAAAGTGAGTCCTTCTCCCTGAAGCTGGCCTGTGAAAGTTATATTTTACGCGTGCGTCCTAATTAGACACATTTTGCACATGTAAGGAACAAACAACAGAAATGACTTATTTACTTTTCTGAAGGATTTTTGAAATGAGGTCAGAACCCTGGTATTTGAATAAATGCTAAAAGCTGGTTTCAGCTCGCCCTGTGCATTTAATTGCCGGTGTAATTAGAGGTGCGACACGTTTGTCAGACTATGATCGTGTGAAACGCAGCAAAAATACGTGTCAGGCAGGGCAGAGCTCTCGGCACCCTTTTAACCACAGGCCTCATTAGTGGGCATAATTGGGACTTTATAATCCGGCTTCAATTTCCTGTCTGAGCGTTTAGGAGTCCAGTTCATTTCAATTTTGGGCCCAAAACAAAACAGGACACAGGCGAGGAGACTACGAGCACTCAAAGTGGTTTTATTACAACTTGTGAGAGAAGTGTTGGGGCGAGGCAGACTGGAGCTCAGCTGTGGCTTTGTTCCACAGGACTGAATGAAACAGGTTGAAATACTGCGGCGGCTTGTGGCGTTGATAAGGAGGTGAGGTGTGCAGGCGAGGAGCTGCGTTCACAAAACCACGCCCGGCGGGACAGACGCACAAATTGAGGACAAATGTGACACAACACCAGGGAGGGAAAACAGCAGAGACACGGGAGGGAAATTCAAGAGGAAGCTCCCGAACCATAACGATGGGTCTTAAAGTTTAAGAGGACGGCATTCAAGCAAAACATCATACAAAATTCAACCTTTAAGTAAAAATACTTTTTGGCTTCTTAGATTTTCTTACACAATATTAAAGAATCACAATTCTGTTTTTGGAATACCATCCTAAATTAATTTTGATGGGGCTTCTAGCAAAAGCAAAAAACCTATAGAAATTGGACACTGTACGTTTTATTCTAAACCCGTACACGTCGCTTTGATGAAATAACTTTTTTTTGTGCAGGCGAAAATTGACAGTTCTCTTTCTTTTTTTTTGCCGTCTGTGTTTTAGTTCGCTTCAAGATCATGGACAACGGCCACCTGCAGATCCGCAGCATCAAGAAGACGGATGAGGGCATGTACACCTGTGAGGCCCGGGTCATGACCAGGGGAGAAATTGACTTCAGGATGATCAAGGTCGTCATTAATGGTGAGCGCCACCCGCCTGTCAGCTTCTGTTCATGCCTCCGCGGCGGCGACAGCCAGTGACCAGAGGCATTATGTCTCTGGGTTAACTGTCCTATACGTCACATTCCCATGAACACGATATCTCCAAAATGCATCGAGGGGATTTTAAACTTGTACTCGAAGATGAACTGATTCAATTGTGGCAGCTAAAAGGCAAAGATCAAAGTCACAGTGGCCTCACAAAGTAAATTTGTGATTTCTTTTGATCAGTTGTCACTAAGATTTTCAAATAATGATTAGTGGTCAAAGGTTCCAGTGACCTTATACGAAATTGCAAAAACCGATATAGAAATATGTACGTGGAGACTTCACTGGTTTGGCGGAGACCTTCAGCCGCAGTGCAGTAATTCTAGTTTTATGTAGAACAAGTGTAAATCATGTATTTTTCAAAAAAAGACCATCAGTGGTAAATAATGGATTCGTACATAATTAGCTATGGTCATTACAGACTACAGTTTATCAATCACTGATAATAGCAAATTATTTATTTCACTTCTACAAGTGTCCACCCACTGCTTGTTCAGCTCAGCACCTGAATGCAGATGATAAAGATGAATAATGTGCACACTACTGGTTCCAAGGGTCCAGATGCTGCAGGTTTAAATCTATATATCATGAGACTCGATTAGAAATCACTGGCTATGTGTGTTAAATGTTAATCTAATGTGAATCTTTATCCATGTCTCTGTTTCAGTGCTCCCCACCATCCGGGCCAGGCAGTCAGAGGTCAACGCTACGGCTGACATCGGTAGCTCGGCTCTGTTGGCTTGTGACGCTGACGGCTTCCCTGAACCCACGGTCACCTGGGCACAGTACGTCCTCCACCGCTCTAATTGACCTGTTCTGATGAGATGAAACATGAGTGGGGGGGGGGGTTCTCATATCTACCCTTCAATCAGGGTGTGGAATCTTATTAACCTCACCAAAAACTTCATATTTGAAGTACAGGAAGGATTCATCAGTGAAGTACAACAGATCTTAACGAGGCGACATATTTTTGTTAGAGTCAAATCAGCCGGGTAAGATAAAGTTGCATAACAATGATGTTGAGCAATGCAGCAAAAATGATTAATGCATAAAACACAAAGTGTCGAGCTCAACATTGTATAAAGCCATACTGTACTTTGCAGGTGCTGTATGTCATGGGTCTAAAAATGGAGAGGAACTTTGTGTTGTGCCAAAGTACATCCTGAAAAAAAAAACATCCTGAAGTTTTTTATTTTATCCTCGAGAATTTAAAATCTACAAAGAACAAGTTCACCAAGTTACGGAACTCGCTTCATTTTTTCTAATCTGTTTTTTGCAGGAAAGTGTTTTGCTTTTATCTGTGACACGTCTGTAAGGGTGAGGCTGTGCCCTTTAGTAACAGGATGCAGTGTGAAGCCCGTATCACATCTGAGTCACAGCACTGTGTATTAATCAGCTGGACAGTTTTAGGGAGCGTTGTTTGGTTGTTGCTGCCAAGGACGAGGCAGCGTTTTCACTGACCAAACACTCAGGCAAGGAATGGATCCATTATTCAACTGTTTTACATCACTGAACACACTGTAGAGGAAAATAAGATCCTGTAGAGTCAGTGTGAGTTTGCTGTGACACTGACGTATAATCTGAAGTGTTTGCACAGAGAATGATGCGGCCATGTTAAAAAAGGAGAAACAGAAACTAGTGATTTGAAACAAAATGAAATGAAGGGATTTTTTTTTAAAAATCACTCGCAGGCGTATTGATTTTCATCCAGTTAAGAGCTTGTTCTCAGTTCAGTCTCTGCGTGTCCCATTATTTCAAGGTAGCACCTTCAAATACCTTCATATTATTTGAAGGTAGCACCTTCAAATAATGGGGCTCACGCAGGTTGAAAAGGCTGTTATGTGCTGAAAGACTTCTTTTTAAAACTCACACACAATGGCTGGCTGGTTTTTATTGTATTCATTAAAACGTATGCAAATCGGGTTGTTCTCGACAAGCCCTCTCTGAAAGAACAACCCAACACCGACTGGAAGTGCAAATTGCATGTTTCAGGTTTACTTCTAATCCACCACGGCTGGCGGCGTCTGTGTCTGTTTATAAATTGGCTCCTCTGATCAAGTCTGAGATAAAACAACGTAAACTCTCTGTGGTGCTGCCGCCTGCGTCTCACAGCCTCTCTGACCAGGCTGTTTGTGGAAAGTGATTGCGGTCCCTTTAGGAGGATTGCACATGCACAACATAAATTACAGGGAGTTGGTGTCTGGTAGTGTTTGAAAATATGGCATGAATATGAATTTGCACGGTCTTGTCTACAAATTGTTGTGTGGGAGAAATGATGAGATTTACTTGCATTTGCATTTGCACGACTGTAACAAGAGGAAAAACCCTTTGATGAGTTCAGTTAGGCAGGTTCACACTCTGCAAATGCTAATATTGAGTTGTTACCACGTAGAGCTGCAACGCGTGAAGTGAATCTGCACCTCGCCGCTGTAGCTTCTGGTAAATTGAATCTGGTGAACCTCGTTTGTGTTAAAAACAGATTTACTTTTGAAACTGGGGGATAAAGAATTTAGAATTGCAACGTAGCAGGTGTTGACAGAAATTAATCAACTAACAATTGTGTTTCTTTGGATATTTACACACTGCGGAGGATTATACTAGTTTAGACTTTCCATAAACGTGAGTGGAACAATGAGGGTCAGGGTTTCGAAGCATTGTATTTGTCTTAATACAGTAATAGATCCTTAATATTTATATGATATAACTAAACTTGATATTTGAACTAAATCTCACACGTTCAATTGGAATTTTCAAACATCTGTTAACGTAAGAATCAAAGATACCATCAAAAATACATTTGCGCAAATACATAAATGATGGTTTAAGCTATTGAATGCTGTTTTAATTAAAAAAAAATAATAATTCAACCATAACCATGTTGTCAGGTTCTCGCTTCTTTCTCTAGCAGATGGAGTTTGGCAGAGCGGAGACACGAGCTCCCTGTAAAATAAACCATCGCCAAGTCGGTTTCTGGCCTTTTTACAAGTTACTGAACATTAATTAGCTGAAGGTGATATCGTCTGGCACAAAATCCAAGAGTCAGCAAAGGCTGGAAATGAGGAGCATGCTGGATTTTCTAAATTGCCTTTTGGCTAAAAAGAGAAAAAAGGGGGAACGAGGAGAGATATATGTTTTGTTTACGGGCACCGAAGGTTAAAAAGTCGTTTTTATGTATTCGACCGACCTGGATCTAAATTCAAAAATGGAGCCGGCTCTCAGCCCTCAACGGTAAATAAAACCCCCAAAATATCTCTGTTCTCTCCTTCTAGGGAATACATTGTGACTCGACACAACTCTGATAATTGATTTTCCATTAGCTGGTGTAGAACATCTCAAGAAACTTTATTCAGAGTGAACAGGGGAACATTTTTTTCCTCGTACAGCAGTTTCATATTCAAGACACATCACTCACCACTGTCGCGCGGCGGCTCCTCTGCAGATGAATCTTTAAATGTGGCTGCTTGGAGTGGATAAGACTGTTGAACACTGGGATCCTGCAGCTCCTCCATTAATCAACACCTGTGTGTGATGTGGCTGTTGGGATGGAGCAAGATGCAGAAGAACTCTGTGGCCAGAAGAGAGTTAAGACGGCCTGTGTGGTTGTCGGGAGGACAGATGGGTGAAGCGGAGGAGTAAATCTCTATTTGTTCTGGTTTCCTAGTGCTGCTGACAAGGCTGTCATTCACTGTCTTCCTGCAAAATGCCTCTAAAGGGCTGCTGCTCAGGCACACACACACACAAAACTTTATTTTTAGGAGTGAAAGTGGTAAAGAAAAAAGCACTATAACCATCATTAAATTGATGTGTGGCCTTCTTAAAGAAAATACAGGTGTGAGGTCCAAAGGAGAGCTGAGGCAAATCAAAATCTGTGGAAATGTTTGAGATGTTCTCAGGGACCAAACTTTTTCCTGGTCGTCCTCGCTCTCCTCCTGAGATAAAACTAGATCATTGTCGGTGAGAGATGTGTGATCGAGCCCTCAAGTTCCCAAACGCATCTGATCTGAGCTCCGCCGTGTCTTAGTCACTCTTTTTGATTATTTTCTATTTTCTCCCTCCCTCCGCTACAGCAACAACGTCGTCCTTGAAACGGGTGATAAGTACAGCCTGAACGAGGACGGCTCAGAATTGGAAATAAAAGATGTCACGAAAGTGGATGAAGGAGAATACACTTGCATCGCCAAGAACAAGGCGGGAGAGAAGGCAGAGGAAGTCAGCCTCAACGTGTTTGGTAAGAGAATATTTCTGACATTATACCGTCAACTCTTTTTTCTCTCCCTGGCCTTTTGTTTTTCTACTTATTGACATTTGCTGGACACTCGTCTGCAGCTTCTCCAGTGGCTGGTCGCAGGGTAATGCAGCGTGAATGTACAGTTTAAAGGATAGCATGTCCTATTGGAAAGTAATTAAGCCGGCCCTTAGGACGTTCAGAGATATCACACTAGACTTCCTCTTGATGAGGACATTTGCATTGCAGCTCTGTTACAGTCTGTGTCGGCGGGGAATTAAACCCTCGACACTCTCATGAATTTAACAAAGTGAAAAAGGTGTTGAAACCTGCACTAATCTCACGTTTGTGTATAAACAATGGATGAAATGGTCGTGTATGTGAAAAGGTGTCACAGATAATTTATCAGCCAACGTTTGCAGCAGATCTGCAGTTTTTTTTTTTTTTGGCTGTTTCAGCTTTTATTTTGATTTATGACCCACAAACTGGCCTCTGTCTGAAAAATCAGTAATTTGAAGAATTAACTTGGCGAGCTCCGAACATCAGGGACACCACGTTAGCAGCTAGCTGTTAAAGAAAGCTAAAGCTTTAACGGGTTCACGCCTCGTTTCCACATAGAATATTGCATTAAGACGCTGGTTACACAAGAAATAAAAAATAAATTCATGTATTAATGAAGTCTGCCTCAGTTATCAAAAAAGAAGAAAATAATAATATAATGATTAAATGACCAGAGAACTTGGTTTGTTGCTTATTGTCTGGAGGTGTAATTTAGTTAATTGTGTCCACAGCAACCTTCTGAAGTGATAATATGCCACTTTGTAAAATGTGTGTTCACCTTTCTCCTTTGCAAAAAGCAAAAAGACAATAATTCACCTCCAGAGGACAACGCTGACATCAGATACGAGCTGCGACAAGCAAAAACCTCCGTGTTGACATTTTCACCGAGTACTGATAAGTATAAATATGTCTTAAAAAAATTTTTCAGTAACGCGTTGGTGTCTTTTATTCCTAGTGCAACCCAAGATCACCTACTTGAACAACCAGACTGCCTCAGAGTTTGACGAGCAAGTCACGCTGACCTGCGAGGCCTCGGGTGACCCCACACCCACCATCTCCTGGAGTTTTCAGAACCGGGTGTTCACCGAAGGAGAGCAGGTACAGATTCCTCTTCTTTTAACTGAGATTATGACTTTTATATAACGACATGCCACTTAGTCAAACTAGACGAAACTTCCTGTTGTTATGTGGAAGCTATTGGGGCGTAACGACCCTCTGCTGAGTCTTGGCTGGGATTTGAAATCCTCTTAACATCATTAAATAACAGCAGAATTTCTTCAATCAAGCATCTAAAGGGGGGGAACAGACCCTTTAGATATAAAGGTCCAGGTGCCCTTTACCACCAGCACACTGCAGAGAGGAGTACATGTTTTAATTCATGTTATACATTTATGCAAGAACTTTCAAGTAGTCTGTGCAGCTTTCTTTGATGACGAAAGTCTAATACAAAGTAATTTTGAAAGCGTTTTTTTTAAATATAATTCTAAAGGTTCAGCGTGAATGAATTCATACAGCTCCTAGGAACAGTGCCATGAAATAATTTATGTTGCTGTTTGGCACTATCTGCACTAAATTGAATTGAATGCAGAGTAAACAAGAGAAACAGACAGTGACAACCGACTGTGCTCGAGTCTAACCGATATGGATTTTTTGGGGCTAATGCTGATACCGATATTTTAATAAGTCAAACACTTCAGATAACGATATATCAGCAGATGTACATATGAAAACAAATGATGTCTAAGATGCCGTTATCGAACCCTCGTAAGAAATAAATTACAAACACAACCAAGATGTGAACATAAATGCACATTATCGGTGCAGTGCAGATAAAACAGATACGACGTGCGCGACAATTTATCCAACTTATGAATCGTGAAGCTTTAAAATGTAGGTTCATGACAAACCTCGTCTCAATTATCTTTTATTCCAGAAAACCGGGGTTTGACTTCAATCCATCACAGAGCTAATGCATCTTCTCATTCCGACATTGATGTGTCTGAACCAGATCAGTCACTTGTCCGCTCGCTTGTGTTTCTCGTTCAATCAACGAATTCATTTCAGTCGACCTTGCGTCCAACCCTGTCCCTCGTAGATCATTAATTGCCAATCAACAATAAACAGCTTACTCTGCTTTTTACTTTTCCAAACCTCGAACCTTAATTGCGCTGCCTCCTGAACGTGCCCTTCGTACAGTTTAGATTCCACCATCTCTCTGAACTTTCAACATCCTTCTCTAACACCGCCGGGGACTGCGTGAATGCTTCTGTCCCTCCTCCGTCGTGAGAGCACATGCAGCGGTTCACTCTGTTATGTTTGAATCGCGATGATAATGGCTCAGAATTCATTGAAAGTTAAGTGAGATTGAGTCGAAACTGTGAAAATGATTTCGGTGAAACTGGTTTAATTATTTCTGTGTAACAATCTGGAGACCATAAGTCAATCTCTGTTTCAAAATCCGACTTTTATGACCTCAATTACGATTCTCTGGCAAACTGTTGTAATAATCCGCCGTGGAGATGGGTGGACACCTTTCTCTGAGGTGGATTTAATAATTAAAGAAAAGAAAAGTAATTTTCCTAGCTAGATACGATAGGTGTGATAGATATAATAGATCCCATTGATACGATAGATAGATGCGGATAGATACAAGCTGATATGATGCAATATGATATTATGCAATACAATAGATACCATAGATATAACTCAATACAGTGCGATACAATACGATGGATGGATACGAGAGGATGTATAAAAAGATAGATCTCAGTACAAAAGAGGATTCTACATGAGATTTTTTTTTTTTTTTTGAATAGCATATTGCTACATGAAGCCACAGAGGGTTTGCACGTCTTTGTCCTCCTCTGCAGTATCTCATGGTTTTCTCTCGGTGTCCTTCAGGAGAGCAGCAGATAACACTGGATTAGAGCTTTTAGCCATAGAACACGGGGAAAGGCTCCCGACGCGGGAGCTATGAATATCATCCTTGTGCATTTTCTCTCCGTCGCACTGGTCCCAGCATGTCGGCTGTTGCCAGCCTGAAGAGAGAATATGATCCTGAGCCCATTGTCGTGCTCTTATCAGCTCATTAAAATGGAATAATTCTGAAAAATCCATCTTAATGGTGCATTGTGTCACGTGCGTCACGTGAGCAGTAGATGGATTAGTCACCTCAGAGGGGTAATTTTCTGCTGTGAATGCAGTAAACAGTATTAAGATAATTACCTTGCTGCCTGTAGCAGGTCTGTGGATCGAGGAGGAACACTTCGCAGTGCCTCGGCTCGCAGCTAAAGTAGCTGCGGCAAGAAATGATGTATTATTATACATCTTCATATTACTTCTGCTAATGAGGGAAGTTAGGTGCGAGGTATATTTCCCTTGCAGATTTTCCTTCGCCTCGAGTTATCGGCTGATCCGGAGCCTTTGGAAAATTTGCAACTAGGCCACGAGGGCACAATATGATTTGGCATTTTAATAATATGACTTTATACCTTTAAAGGCTATTTTATCTTTGACACCCTTGAATATGCCTGAGTCTTCGCTGCAGTTTAAATCAGTCCCTGAAATACTCAATATCCTAATTTTTAATAGAAGTAGGTCATTGTTGTATATGAGGTAAACCAGCTCTTTATCACTTTTAAGTGTTGAACAGGCCTCTACCTGCTGCGTCACTGAGAGGTCCATGTGGTTTCAGACAGAAATAAAACATCTAATGTTTGACTTCTTGTTTAATTTTCATTCTCAGCCACATCCTCCTTCTCTTGTGCGTTGTCTGTGGTGTGCGCTACCTCGTAATGAAATTGTGTGTGTGTGTGGGAAAATGGTTTATCCACCACGGTTGTTACGCACTGTGACAAATGATGTATGCGTGGAACACAAGGTGCACTATTCTTGGAGACACGCAGAGTGAATGCGGTGAAAGCACCTGTCCCTGTTTGGCCCCAGAGGACAGGACGGGGCTCAGTTGCACAATATTTGGGACGTAGCGTCCTACTTCACTTCGCAGCTCCGTCCGGCTGAGACCCGAGACCGCAGTGCAATGAATTATACCTTAAAGCTGCCGAGCAAAACGCGTCTAACATCAGATTTTATCACCGTAAAACTGCAACGTTAAACTAAAAAGATCGTGACCCAGATGTTTTTGAGAACGTCACTGTCTATAATGATAATAATAATCAAATTCCAAAATAAGTAACACCTAATTCTGTGGAAGTTTGGAGCAGCAGTGGCTGCTTGTCATTTATCAGCCGTGATAATATCATTCCACACGAGCCGTCAAACCACTTCTCTCAGTAAAAAACTTAAAATGAATGCCTAACTGCCAACAGCATTTCAACATCAACCCAATTAGTTATCGAGGTTCGTTTATCACCGTTAAAAGAGTTGAATGAGCTGAAATGAACTTGGAATGTGCACGAACGAGGGGAAGGTAACATTTCCAAGCGGCGGTGGTGGCACGGTCGTAACCTGACAGTGCAGCACAGTCTAATGCAGCGTGGTGAAGCTCGGTGTTGTGCCAAAACTTGTAATGCGTGAAAAAAAGTGTTTCTCCTGGCGGCGTGTCTCCAACCTCAGTTTGATGCCAGGAAAAAAAATAAATAAAAAAAGGAACATAATGGCTTTGCCGCGGTAAACATTTCACAGACTTACAAAGAATGACAGTGGAGTCTAAGTAGTTTGCTCCAGGCATGTTAGCGACACTAGTTTCACACTCTTTTGATTTTGAAAGACCTCAAGGCCAGAATAGGACAAACATCCCATTTTTAGGTTCCATGAATAATAAATTCATCACTGTGGGTTTTTTTTTTTTTTGGATGCAAACCGAGTGACTCACTCAGGAGAATTATCAGAAGGGGATAAAATTTAATGGTTTGTTCCATTAACTGTGTAATTCATCACTGTCAATCAGTGGAAGCGCTCACACAGCACAGTCGTGGCTGCAGGTTACTGAATCTGATGCTCCTCCTGCAGAAAACCAGGACTCGCTCCCGTTCTCGTGTTCACATCTGTCACCGAGTCATCATCCCGCTCGTCTCCATCCATCACTGTCACATTCATTTTGATTTAATGCTGCCGTAATCTAAAAATCCCGCTGATGGTTTTGATGCTCGCTGTCACTAATTTTAATCGCGTCGTCGTTCCATCATCGATGCGTTTCGTGTTTTCTGCCGTCGTCCGTCCTCCATTCTGCCCCCGCATCACACCATCCAGAAATATAAAATCATAATGACGTGCGACAGGACAGGACACTGCTAAAAAGTAAAGTGAATAAGTCACTGTGTCGTCTCTCGACACGGGATTTTAAGCGTGAAGCTATTTTGACGCTCAGTTTCATAGCGTATACTTTTATTAAATATGTACAAATGAACAAACACAAACGAGTTAATGAAAACACTGCCATGATGATGTGGGGTCAGATAAGAAAATCAGAAGTCTCAAGATTGGGGTAATTGCTTCACTTTTAATTAGTGTTAAAGTTCTCTGTTTTCCTCAGTGTGCCTCTGATTCTCTCTCGATATAAAAACATTCATTAATAATTACAGACTTTTCTGACCTGTTCTGTAAATATATCTCACGGCAGCGTCAGAAATCTCGACCTCGCCGTGACAGGGAGAAAAACCTCAAACTCCATGATGTCACATTTTAATATTGTTTGCTTTTAACACTTTAACACAGTAGTATAATTTATTCATGACAGAACATATTCCTACTTTAAACAAATACAACATGTTGGTATAAATAATTCAGATGTGTCCGATGAGAACCGGTTGAAATCTTCCTCAGTCGTATTATTATTATTATTGCTTCATTTCCACCTGACAGTTTCAGAATCCATCACTTTGAACAGTGAGTGGCTCTCAGACAGTCTCAGGAGTTGCCATCAGAGTTTCTGCCTGATAACATGATGTAAATTCAGCTTCTTCACCGCGGGCGCCGCCATGGTCACACGATAAGCTGCTACGGTGGCGAGGTGGAAAATTTGTGAACCACCGAGAACTCGGTGTCGGTACCCTCGCTCTCCCTGCTTCTGCCCCCCCCCCCGTAGAAAAAAAAACTGCTCACTGTCTAAAGGCGGCTTCACATCTGCATTACTGTTT